TCCCTTCAATATTCCCGCTATTTTCCCTCAATTTTCCCACCATTTTCTCTTCAATTTACCCACCATTTTCCCCTCACATTTCCCGCCATTTTCCCTTCAATTTTCCCACCTTTTTCCCCTCACGTTTCCCCCCCCTTTTCTCCTCAATTTTCCCACCGTTTTTCCCTCAATTTTCCACCCCTTTTCCCCTCACATTTCCCACCATTTTCCCCTCGCTTTTCCCACCCTTTTCCCCTCAATTTCCCACCCTTTTCTCCTCACTTTTCCTGCCTTTTTTTTTCCCCTTTTCCCCCCCATTTCCCACCATTTTTCCCCTCACAGTCCGACCTGGGAACCCCGACCCTTACTGGGAGCACTGGGAGCCAACTGGAAGCCCCACAATTCCTCCCCTTGGGATCCCCCCTGGCCTGACCGGTGTATTTATTAAAGCTTTTTTTGGGACAAAACTCTCATTTTTGGTCATTTCGGGGGGGGAGGGTGGAACCAGAACGGTTGGTTTTATATATATATAAAATATACATATTCTATATTATATATAAAATATATGTCCTATATTATACGTTCTACAGCATATATTTTAATTTTCAATGTATTTTAGCTTTCATGACATAAAATCCATAAAACGTAATTTCGCTATACCATAATGTGATTAAATCTAATTATATATAACACATAATAAAATTTAGTTATGTACTTACATAAATATAACATATTACATATACTATAATATATACTATAGTATATATATTATATAAAATCATAATGGTGTATAAAATTATGGAATACATATTATAAGATATACAATTATATATATTTTATACACCTCTCTCTATATAATTGTGTATCTAATATGTATCTGTGTAATTATATAACTAATATATACTATATATAATTATACTCTAGTATGTATTACATATATAATTATATTTATCATTCCTTTATATTTTTATATATATTTAAATATGTATTTTTTATATTTTTATGTATTTATTTATATTTATTTATTATTATATGTAATTACACTTTCGTGTTTTTATACTTATACATATTTTAAAGCGCTCAAATTTATTTATAACTACATATAATTATATATAATTACAAACCACATTATTTATGTGGTTTATAAATAAATCACATAAATTGTGATTTATTGTTAAAATAAATCCTCCCCCCCCCCAAAAAAATAACGACTCCGGGACCCCCAAATTCCACCAAAACCCTTTTTATTGACCCCCCCCTATTTTGGGGGGGGGGGGACACGAGGAGGCCCCGCCCTAAAAGGGGAGGGGATTAGGAAGCCCCACCCAAAAAGGGGAGGGGACAAGGAGGCCCCGCCCTAAGAGGGGAGGGGACAAGGAGGCCCCGCCCTAACGGAGGAGGGGCAACAACAGGAAGGGGAGGAGCCACCCGGGCCCCTGCAGGGGGTGGCCCCGCCCCGACGGGCCCTTGATTGGGCCCTTGGTCCCGTCCTTGCGCCCCTGGCGCCCGGCGGCCATCTTGTCCCCGCCCCCGGCAGCCATATTGCCACCATCACTGGCGGCCATCTTGTCCCCGCCCCCGGCGGCCATATTGCCACCATCACCGGCGGCCATCTTGTCTCCGCCCCCGGCGGCCATATTGCCACCATCACTGGCGGCCATCTTGTCCCCGTCCCCAGCGGCCATCTTGCCACCGTCACCGGCAGCCATCTTGCCACCATCACCGGCGGCCATCTTGTCCCCGCCCCCGGCGGCCATCTTGCCACCGGCGGCCCTCTTCCCCCCGCCGGCGACCTCGGCGGCCGCATCGACCTCCCCGGCGCCCTCCGCGCCGCCGGCGGCCATCTTGTCCGCCGTGGTGATGTTGTCGGCCGCCTTGGGCGTGGCCGTGGGGGCGTGGCCGTGGGGGAGGAGCTCGAGGCGGGGCAGGTCGGGGTCGAAGAGGGTCCTGTTGGCCAGGTCTCGGTTGCAGAGGTCGCCGGCGCAGCAGGAGCCGCTGAGCGAGGCCGCGTCGTCCCCCCGCCATTCCCGGGAGCAGCTCCCGTCCCGCACGCAGCCACGAACCTCCCGCCACAGCGTCACGTTACCTGAGGGGGGCGGGGTCAGAGGAGGGGTCAGCAGCGAGGCCACGCCCCCTACACAGCCCTACGTCCAATATAGGGTCACCCTGGGATGGCCACACCCCCTAAATGCCATATAGGGTCACTCTCTGTCCCCTATAGGGTCATCCCGGAAATGGCCACGCCCCCTAAGTGCCATATAGGGTCACCTTATGATCCCTATAGGGTCACTCTGGGATGGCCACGCCCCCTAAATGCCCATATAGGGTCACCTTATGACCCCTATAGGGTCACTCTGGTATGGCCACGCCCCCTAAATGCCATATAAGGTCAATACGGGGACTACAGGGGGACCCCATAAAGACCCATAGAGACCCCATAAAACCTCCTAAAGACCCCATAAACACCCCATAAGGCCTCATAGAGACCCCATAGAGACCCCATAATGACCCATAAAGACCCATACAGACCCCATAACGAGCCTTAAAGACCCATAAAGACCCCATAGAGACCCCATAAGGCCTCATAGAGACCCATAAAGACCCCATAAAACCCCACAGAGACCATAAAGACCCCATAAAGATCTCAGAGACCCTCTCAAGACCCCCTAAAGACCCCATAAACACCCCATAAACACCCCATAAACACCCCATAGAGACCCATAAAGACCAATAGAGACCCCATAAAGACCCATAAAGACCCCATAGAGACCCATAAAAACCCCATAAAGGCCCCATAAAGACCCCATAGACTCCATAAAGACCCATAAAGACCCCATAAAGACCCCTAAAGACCCCATAGAGACCTCATAAGACCCCCTAAACACCCCATAAAGACCCCATAGAAACCCATAAAACCTGCTAAAGACCCCATAGAGACCCCATAAGACCCCATAGAGACCCCATAGAGACCCCATAGAGACCCATAAAGACCCCCTAAAAAAAAACCCTAAAAACCCCATAAAGACCCCACAGACACCCATAGAGACCCCATAAAACCCCCTAAAGACCCCATAAAGACCCCATAGAGACCCCACAAGGCCCCATAGAGACCCCACAGGGCCCCCCCCAGTCTCACCCAGTTTGAGGGTGACGTTGCCATGGAAACAGCCCCTCAGGTCGTCGTAGCACTGGACGATGGTGGTGGGGGGACAGGGACCCCCCTCCTCGGGGCACCCAAAACACTGGAGCCCATTGGGGGTCCGGGCGCTGCCATTGGCTGAAAGGAGGAAGGGGGTGTGGTCAGAGAGGCTCCGCCCACAGCCACACCCACCAGTCCCTCCCAGTCCCTCCCAGTCCCTCCCAGTACCGGGTGCTGCCATTGACTGAGGGGGGAAGGGGTGTGGTCAATGAGGCTCCGCCCACAGCCACACCCACCCACCAGTCCCCCCAGTGCCTTTCCAGTAACCTCCCAGTCCTTCCCAGTTCGTCCCAATGACGTCACAGTCCATCCCAGTTCATTCCAGTTCACCCCAGTGACCTCCCAGTCCCCTCCCAGTCCCTCCCAGTCCCCCCCAATCTCCTCCCAGTCCCTCCCAGTCCCTCCCAGTCCCTCCCAATCCCCTCCCAGTTCCCCCCAATCCCCTCCCAGTCCCTTCCAATCCCCTCCAATCCCCCCCAATCCCCTCCCAGTCCCTCCCAGTGCCCCCCAATCCCCTCCCAGTCCCTTCCAATCCCCTCCAATCCCCCCC